GCTTGTCCTTAAAATATAAACCAAGGAAATTTAGCTTTAAATAACTCACGTTTTAAATGACCATTGTGTGTATGTATGTACTTTATTGCTTGAAAATTAGCCACAAGTTGGCAGTCCTGAGTGGTTACCTCTATTTAACACAATTTTTTTTTAAATATTACAAGGAAAGTTTGGGGTGGTGTGCTTGGTTTTTTGGTTTTGTCTGTCTTTGAGCCTTTTTAAACATGTTGAAATTTGAATCTTCATTTCTTACCTGAGCCTTACAGTTCATTCTTGTTCCTCTCTGCTCCTCCTGTTTTTCCTGTGACTTCTCACCGTCCATACTATCTGAGACTTCCCTAGCCCCAGCTCAGCGTAAGGAATACAAACCTGTGCTCTGCGTTAGGCTTTAGGCACGTCATCAGTGCTTACTGGAAAAGCACACCCCAGGGAGCCAGGTTTTGGCTTTGGCAGGTAAAAAGTCTTTCAGATCTCAGAATACTGGAAACCTTAAACCTTTTGGTTCTTTAGCTAAAGTGATTGGCAACAGAATGTGACATCTGAGGTTGCATGGCCAGCAGTCGCTGTAATTAACCACATGAGCTCACGCTTTCCCACTGGAGGTTCTCAGTGGTCTTGGGGTGATGAAAGTGACTTCCCTACCAGGAGGTGGTTTTCCTTTTGAGGGTATAGGAATACCCGTGGGTCCTGTAATGCTTGTCCCATGGTCCTTTTAAAATGCTTTTTAATATAAAGCCTCAATATTGGAAATCCAACACCACCATGTTTAACAGGGAGGCTGTGGCTAAGCACCAGTGGCCTGGAGTGGGAAACAATCTAAGATTGTTAATAGGTGGAGCAGGGAGTCTGTGGTGAGTGTGAGTAACCCGAATCAAAGCTGATTTTATCCAGTTTTCAGTATTTTGCTGTTTCTTTATAGTTTCTGATTTCCATGTATAGGTTTCTCTCCTTAAAATGAAACAAAATTATTTTGCTCGTTGGAGAGAGATAATGTTAGGAAGCCCGTTTTTGTTCTTTCAGAGAGAGGTGTGGATGTAGTCATCAAAATAAGAAAAAATATTTTTGTAATATTTATCCCTTCAGTAATATGGGGGAGAAAGTAGATGTTTAAATGCTTAGAATTGAGTACATTTTTATAAAATATTCATGTTTAAAAAAAAAATATTCATGTTTTGGGTTTGTTAGGTATGTTTGGTTTTTTTAAAAAAAAACAACAACAAAGGCTTATTATGAGACCTGTTACTGCTTTCTGGAATTTTTAAACTGCAATTACCTTCTCTCTCTTCCTTTTCCCTCAAAAGAAGGTTATTTTTAGCTTTTTTTTTTCTTTCTAAAAAGCCCAAAACACTTAAGAAGCTTTATTAAAAACTATAAAATACAGAGACACTAGATTCTCAGTTTAAAGTTGATTGCATCTTCCAGAACTTTCTCACCATTCTTATCACTATTGAAAAACAAGCCAAAACCAAATTCTATGTCCAAAATAACAATCTCTGGTAAAATTCTTCTCATGGTTCTAAAGACCAAACCCTTTTATTCGTAGGAATATTTTTCATTTACTAAGTCCTTTTCTTTACAGAAGGACGTCTGGTGGTGTAATACCTTACATGTTGCACTACTAACCTTAAGGTCAATGTTACAAATCCAGTAATTGCTCCACAAGAGAAAGATGGGCAGTCTCCTCCCTCAGAAACTCCCTGGAGGGGTGCTCTGAATAGGGATCAATGGGATGGCAATGAGTTTGGACTGGATTCTTTACAGAAAGCATAAAGCACAGTACCACAACCTCTGAGGGAGTCCCCAGGCCCAGCTGTGACTCCAGGTTTGGATAAGGAGCTGTATTCTTAAACTTATTTCATCAGTCATGATTTCTACTTATGTAACTACATACCTTTGGATCTCTCTTTTCCCATCTTTAAATGTATAGAATCAATCAGAATTTGTGCTTTCTTACATTTTCCTTGGTGTTAATGTTGTTGTTAGGTGCCATTATGTAGAATATGACTCATAGTGACCCTATGAACAAAAGATCTGAACCCTATTTTGTCCTGTCCTACCCTCGCACTTCCTGACATGCAAGAGCTCATTGCTGCAGTCACCATTGCAGTCCTGGTAGAGGGTCTTTCTTTCCTTCACCGACCCTCCACCCTTCTCAGCATCATGTCCCTCTCCAAAGAGTAGCCCCTCCTGGCAACATGCTGAAAGTATGTGAAATGAAACCTCATCATTCTTGCCTCCAAAGACTACTCTGGCTGCATCCTCTCCAAGACATGTATCTGTTCTCTTGGCCATCCATGGGATGCCACAAAAAGGTGCCAGTTCTTTTTCTGTCATCCTTATTCATTGTGTAGCTCTCAGATGCATAACAAGTGATTAGAAAGACTATGGCCTGAATCAGATGCACCTTAGTCCTGCAACTAACATCATTACTCCTCAATAATTGGAGAAGTCCCAAATGGCATATTTTCCTAGTGCAATGCATTTCCTTATTTCCTGACTGCTGGTACAAAGGGTATTAATTGTGGATTTAAGCAAGATGAACCTTTTGACAGTTTTAATCTTCATTGTATCCATCATGATGTTGCCTATCAGTCCAGTGGTAGGAATCTTTGTTTTCTTGACATTGAGATGCAATCCATACCGAAGGCTGCATTCCTTGATCTTCTGCAACAAGTGCTTCAAGTCCTCCTCACTTTCAGCAAGTAAGGTTGTATCATCTGTATAGCACAGGTTATTGAATCTCCCTCCAACCCTGATGCCACGCTCCTCTTCACAGAGTCCAGTTTCGTGGAGAATTTAGATAATTTGTATGAGGAGAATGTGAAAAATAGAAATCAGAAAATAGTTGAGCTAAGGTCATCACAGTTATTTTAGGTCATCTCTCTTCAAGAAAAATGTGCATCCACATTTATATGCATATACTTTAGAATATTTTGGGGGGTTTTTTTAAGAATATTTTTATAATACTATAAAGCAAACCATTTGGGGAAATTTTTGTTTGTTTTTTTATTTTCTACTAATTTATTTACAAAATTCTAATGTATTGTTTTCAAGAACAAATTCTTTCAATTTCCCTCACTCTCCCACCCATCAAATTGTACAACTCCATGATTAATCCCCCTGCCCCTACATATCCTCATCCCTCTGCTTCCAACCTCTCCCACCTTATACTCATTCTACAATAATGGTTTTATACAATATTTATCCTTGTGGGACTGAGTTAGTTCACTCAGCATAATGTTCTCCAGGCCTTCCCTAGTTAGGTAATAATTTATAAAATCATTGCTCCTGTGTGCTGTATAGTATTCCATTGTGTGAATGTACCATAATTTCTCAGTCCATTTATTTGTGGTTGGGCATTTGAGCTGTTTCCATGTTCATGTTATGGTGAATAATGCTGCTGTGAACATTGGTGTACAAATCTCTGTGCCTCAGTTCTCATATTCTCAGAGTGTATTCCAAGTCATGGAATAGCTGAGTCATATGAAATTTCTATGTTTGGCCTCTTGAGGAAGCGCCAAACTGCTTTTCAGAATGGTTGTGGGTGGGGGGCTTAGTGTTAAGAAAAGCTGAAAATGTTTCTGTTGCATTACTCCAAGTTGTGAGTACATGAATGATCATGGGATTAGGTCTGTCTGAGATGATGAGATTGTCTCAGGATATGGCAGGATTCAGAGCTAATGTACATAGGGTCACTATGAGTTGCAAGCAATTCAATGGCACATAACAACAAGGTGATAGCAGAAATCTTAATGACAATTTAAATGCAATTGCATGTGGCTTCTTTCTTTTTAACATGTGGCTTCTTAAAAATTAAATTCTATGTCTGTCTGTAGAGTGTATACATCCATTACAATAGTTGCCTCCATCTACATTGTTGTTGTTATGTGCCCTCAAGTCACCTGCGACTCATAGCGACCCAATGTACAACAGCCCTAAACCCTGTTCTGTACTGTGCCAGTCCCACTGTCTCCGACACACCCACCCCCACTACTCCAGTCACTGAATCAATCAAAAAAATACCTTTCCTTTTACCTGTGTCAGACTTCACAAAGTCACTTATACAGCCCTGCCTTTGCCAGTATCAAATGCAAATTCCTCAAGGATGTTATATGCAATTTTGCTTTACTTTTAGTGTTGTAAAGAACTGATATCCGTTTCAATCCACCAGCATTCACTGAGGGAGAACAATGAGCAGTCTCCCCCTGTAAAGATTTATAGACTCTCAGAAATCTGATGAGGTTCACTGTGAGTCAGAATCAACTTGACAGCAAAGGGTTTGTGTTTTTATAAAATTATCTAGAACATCATTAATAGGTAA